AAAAATATATTGAATATTGTTTCGTCTATGTTAATCAAGCTATAAACAGAGCATATACAAACATTAAAACCAACTGTGTGCCGACATTGCCAATCACTGGTACGCAGCGATAATGATTACTAATAATTGCATAAATGCACATATTAAAATAAATTAGTAACACAATTTTAATAAATCGAATAAAATATTTAAACATGTGATTGACTTACGTAGAAGACGATTCGGGACAATGGAGTAAATGGAGCGAATGGTCTCCGTGTTCGACTACGTGTTATGGAGGAACTAGAAATAGGTACAGGACTTGTGACTCTCCTCCACCGAAATATGGAGCCAAATTTTGTCAGGTAGGCAATACCTTTTTAGGTAGACACATGACACATGTTTTATAAATTATAATAAACTAATATAATCAATTATAACATTATTTTCAATTCATAGTCATTACTCATTAGTCAATAATACGGATTTTAGATTCTGAGTGGAACGATGAATGTATTGATTTTACAATGAAGACGTCTGTTTTCTTATTTTTTATTTTTATTTTTGTGTCTGTCATCATATTTTATAGGACAGTAAAAATGCTTAGATTGTCTTCAATAGTATCTTTTCTGATAGCAAAGTGAATCTAGTTGGTACTTTGGGGGTCAAAAGTAAAATTTTCCCAGTAGTTTTCAAAAAGCACAGTGAAAAACAAAAGAAAAATTAAAGAAAAATGGGAATTTGTACTTAAAATCTGTTTTCGAAAAAATCTCTTAGACAAATGATCGTAGGTACATGAAATTTTGACTGAATGTTTATATTAGCATTTTCAATGCACCATAACATTTTGACTGATTTTGAGCTATTTACGGACATTTTCAGTTTCCATATTTTTTAGTTTTTTTTTTCTATAAATATCAAAACCATTTTAATTTGTTGGTTAAAAAAGCTTGAAAATTTAATAGAATGCTCCTAATATATTGTTTCAAAGGCAGATGAAAAAAATTAAAAATCTATTCACGATTTTTTTTTTATAAGCATTTAAAGTTTAAATATTGACAGTATACGTACAAATGACGAAAATTTGCAAATTATTTTGAGTTAGGAATTCATAAAAAATTTTCTTTTTAAATCTAAGATTTGAAAATGTAATACAATAAAATATAACATAATATAAAACTTGTTAATCTGGTGGATTTTACATATACCCTTTACTTATAGCGTGTTTATTATGTACACTCAATAAATTATAAAATTTATAAAAAAATTGCTTGTTGCTTATATTATACATTTATACATACAATTAAAAATCTTATGTAAATATCATTTAACTGCAGAACATTCAAACAATATAGATTAAAATATTATATATTAATCCTATAGGGTTCATCGTTACAAACCGAATCATGTGGTGAAAAACAAATGTCTGGCAATGAATGTGGAAAAATTGAACAACAAATTCAAAAATACAATAATACCTCAACTACTGGTTTTTTGCCCACGTATGTAAGTGATGAACTGGGTGCTGAATGCAGATGTGGGTGCGTTATTCATATGTCCAAAGCTACTCGAACATTATCTGCCACGACGAAGGGGTGTCCTGGACGATCATTTTGGTTGATAAAAGTATGATTGATATTAAATGTTTTAAATTTCAATAGCGTTGAACTCATATTAATAATATTTTTATTTGACGTGAATAAGAATGTTGAATTTTCATATGGGCCGATTTCTGGTTTTTTCGATATTTTTGAAACTATTTGCTCAATTATTATACTGTATAATGTTTGAATAATTTATTTTGTATATTAACTTTTTATATCTTATCTATACTGACCGATCTATGTATTATATTTAGGCTGAAGATAAAACTACTATACAATTTGATTTCATTCGACTGTTTTTATCATGCTCGAACCAATGGATTAAACTTCGCGATGGCGACTCAACAGCTTCCAACCTTTTAGCACATTTAGAAGGCACTCCAGATTCTACAAATCCTATTATGTCGACGGGGTCATACCTATTGGTAGAATTCTTTTCAAGTTCCACTGTGCTATCAAATGGAGATTGCTTCGGAGGATTTTTCGCTCAAATAAATCGCATTGGTTAGTTAAAAAAAAAATTGTTTGTTAAACTAAAATATGTTATTTTGATATTCAAATGTTTTATATAAATATATTTTTGTCTTCACAGGAGCCAATAACTGGTCTTTGCCAAATTCAAGCCATGTAGAATTCAATAACAACTTTATTTATTTAATATCAGATATCGATTCTTTCTTAGCTACAATTTCGGCAATTTTATTATTTTTGCTGGTTACTTGTATGTGTTTTTCCGTGCAATTCGCTGAACGTAAACACAAATACCATAAAGCTATTACTACAATGGACAAACATTCTAATAGTACGCAAATAAATTATAAAATATTTTTGGCCATATAATATAGGTAAATGTTTATTTTTAGTGGGTTCAACTTGCAGTATGTTAAACGATAATGACTATACGGCATCAACTACAACTTTACAATCACATATACCACCAATAATAGAAATTTTAGATACTGATGAAAACCAAGATAATGTGGTTGAAGGAGAAACTAATTCTGTGACTGGGTAAATTTTATAATTACTTTTTTATATCTTATTAGTCATTATAGTTATTATTGCTATAGTTGAATAATTTCTTCAAAATAATATTTATCATAATTGAAAATGATACATATGATTATATGTTTAGGAGTGAAATAGTACCAGAAAACATTGTCACATATTCTTCAACAATAGATCAGTGTACACCATTTGTATCTCAAACGTCCTTATCTTCAAGGAAAATTGTTCGTATTCATACTATAATACCTCTAAATAATAATAAATATAATGTTATTAAAATTGTTTTTTGTTTTTATGTATAGATCACCCAGTCAACGTCCACTTTGAACGACCGTCCAAAAAATCATAGACACAACCCGTTGACTAGCAGCACGGATTCGAGTATTCACGGCCATGACGTGTCGGACTTAGAAATGGATTACTACGACTATAACGTTCAAAACACAAACAGTGTGCCTGGGTCGTACATAGGAATGGACCCGGCTTATTGCTTATGGATACCTCCTTTATCTGATCAAAGTCCCGGGGATCACCATGAAAGTATGGAAATGTCCATTTTGGATATAAAAAACGACAAGTGTAAAAAAAATTGCGAAATTAGCAGCAAATACAATAATAGGTTGTCTGCTGACAGTGAATCGACGTTAGTTAGCGAAGACTGTGTTTCATTGAAGACGCTAAAATCATCGCCGAAAGCGTATTTTTCTAAAAATAATCAAAAGGCTGAGTATATAAATGATTCGAGTATTAAGTTTGTTGACGAGGATGACGGAGTTGATGTAAAAGACATTTATGTAGATAATAAAGCGGCTTATACGCATTAATTTTCGCTTATAAAAACCTTTGAAGTCACAGTATATTGTCTTTAATATAAGTTCTTTTAATATTTGAATTTCGAAAATATATTATCTTTTACTATGTACATTGCAATTTTGATTTCAGGAGAACTACCTACCTTTAGCTGTTTTATACTTTTATGTAGTAATAATATTTATTGTTTACAACGAATAGGGCAATAAATTACTGTCTTAGTGTTAAAAATATATTAATGTAAAAAATATTATCATATATATAGTTAAAAAGGAGCAAATATTTTATAAATACATTTTTAAACTATTTTTTATATTAGTTAATACTATTTTAAAAATCGTTTAATTTTTAATGATATAATATGTAATTTTGACTGATTAAAAAACACATTTTAAAAGCAACGAAATCGGTTATATTTAAAACAGCTATTTTTTATTTTAAAACAGTCGATGAGATACATAAATCTTTTCGATAGCTATAATGACCGATTTGTAAAAATAATTATTGTAGGTACTGTTCATGAATTAATGTCGAAGGACCAGCCGAGTATGTCTCGACAGAAGAAAACGGTTTATTTTTTGGTTTTTTTGTTTAACACCTGAATGCCGGGTGGATAGGCAACTCAACACCTCCGATCACCTAACGCCTGAGAGTTGGTTGGATAGGCAACCTAACATCTGAAGATTTAGTTATCGTTTGTTGACCCCCGAAATTCCGCGCATAGGCAACCTAACATACGACGACTCTGAACGAGAGATTCAACAGTAGGACGGAGGTAGGTACAGGTTAATTATGGGGACGGGAATGTTCTGTGGCCGGTCCGGTATGGTGCAATAACCACAGCGCATTTACATAGTTGTGAGGGGTTCTTAAAATTAACTTAAAATTACTGAAGACGAAGTTGAGGCCAATGTTGTCGTCTCGACGACCTTGGGCGGCCTCTCACACACCCGCCTGCGGGTGCTGGCGGACTTACGCGACGTGTGGACGACCCGAGTGGTGCCGTAGTGCAAATCTCGACGACCTTGGGCGGCCTCTCACACACCCCCCTTCGGGTGCTGGCGGACTTACGCTCCGGTTGTACGAGCAAATTGATATGGAACAGAGACTTACTCAACACAGAAGAATCCACGGATCGAACGACGCAATTTACCAGCACAGGCTCCGGCTCAAGAGTAGGTACAGGCACGGATAACGGGAATGACGTAACACAGTATTTTGTATAGGTGTAATTTATTTACCGAGAACGCAATGAACAACAACGGAAATTCGGGCCTCAGTAGCGCAGAACAACCAGGAATGGAAGGCTTGATTTTACCAACAACTGCCGTAATGGCGAGAAAAACGAAATATAACAGAAACAAAAGAATATAAGTATATGCCTCAATGGCGATGACAACAACAATAATAATAATGATATGACCACAGGTGGTCGTAATATAGGTTAATGAATAAAATAATAACAACGATAGTGGAACACGATATGGGAAAAAAAACAAAGAGATTACACGAGGATGTTTATCGCCGTATGTCGACGGCGGCGCGATAACGAAATTTCGGTGTGGCGCGCAAACATCACCGCCCACGTTGAAGGGATCTTCAAGAGGATGGGAATGGGCACAATTTGACGGCAGGGCGAACAAGGTGCCCGGTGGCCGTGTCAACAGTGGCAACACGGGCGATTCCGTCGGCCCCAGGATGCAGTTGACGGACCCGTCCTATTGTCCAATGAAGTGGATGTGTGGCCTCTCGAATGAGTACAAGATCACCAACACGCAGACTCTTTCCATCAGAGCACCATTTTGAGCGAACTTGAAGGGTCGAGAGATACTCGTTCTTCCATCGTGCCCAAAAATGACGATGTATATCTGTTATGAGACGCCATCGAGTGAGTTTTGACAATGGAACATTCTCCAAGTGTGGGTCTGGAAGAGATGTAGATGGTTCAAGTGTCAAGAAGTGACTGGGGGTGAGCGCTTCGAGATCTGACGGGTCATTGCTTAAGGCACAGAGTGGCCTTGAGTTGAGCGTCGCTTCAATTTGTGTTAAAAGCGTCATTAACTCTTCCGCCGTTAACTTGTGGAGACCAATAGATCGTAGAATTAATGATTTGGTCGATTTCACCCCAGCTTCCCATAACCCACCGAAGTGAGGGGACGATGGTGGGTTGAAATGCCATTGGATGTTAGATGTCGCAAGATGAGTCCTCACACAATTTTGAAATGACGTAGAGGTTGTAAGTGTTTGGACTGGGTTTAACAACCGAGCAGCACCAACAAAATTCGTACCGTTATCACTGTGGATTTCTTTCACTGGACCTCGGCGTGCAGTGAAGCGTGTTAAAGCTAACAGGAACGTTTCCGTGGACAAGTCTGAGCTTAGTTCTAGATGAATGGCTTTGGTATTAGTGCATACGAATAAACAGATATATGCCACCACAGAACTGGAGTTCCGTCCTCGGGCCCTCTTGAGGGTAATCGGACCAGCATAATCAACCCCAGCAATTGCAAATGGTTTGATTTGTTGAACTCGGTATTTCGGAAGTGCCGCCATTTTGGGTTGAATGGATAGTGGCCGCGTACGGAAACAAGGGATGCAGAGGCGCAACCGTGATCGGATCACACGTCGCGCTGATTGAATCCAATACGTCCGTTGTAAATAGGTTTGTAACGCAGATGCCCCAGGATGTTTTAGTCGGTGATGGTGATAATCAATGACCAGATCTGTCAATCGATGAGACGATGGCATGAGAATAGGATGTTTATGCTCGTATGGAAGGTCAGCATTTTGCAGGCGACCACCCACTCTGAGGAGCCCATCCTTTGCCAGAAATAAGTCCAATTTGCGAACGGGTTTTGAGCATGGCCACCCTTTTGCTAACAGATCAATCTCTGGTCTGTATACTGATTGTTGGACACTGAAAATAAGTGCAGAAAGAGCGTCATGAATTTCCTCCGCACTGAACACTGTGGGAAACTGATCCAATTGTTTCAGCATTTTCAATTTTTTCACTGTTTTGAATCTTAAACAGTACGCATAAATTCGAGAAATTTTGTCCAATGATGAATACCGATCAAGCAATGTGACCACGGAAGAGCCGACTGTCAGACATACTCCAGCAGACTTTCGGACCTCATCATCTGGAGTGGCATTAAGGGGATCTAGCGAATGATCAGTGGACGATGGCCATTGATCAGGAGATTCCAATAGAAATGGTGGGCCATGCCACCAAAGAGGGTGGTTTATGAGCTCAGATGGGTACAAACCACGAGAGGCACAATCAACTGGGTTACATTTGGTGGGAACGTGTCTCCAAATCGAAGGAGACGTCAATTCTTGTATTTGACTGGTGCGGTTTGCAACAAAGGTTGCCCAACGATGTGGTGACGAACGAATCCAAGCAAGCGCTGTAGTCGAATCAGTCCATGCAGTCAGTTTGTCGACGTGTAGGCGATCTTGGAACGTGACGACAGTGGAACGAATGAGTTGGGCTGCGAGAAGAGCTCCACACAATTCCAGTCGGGGGATGGTTACATGTTTTAGAGGAGCGACTCGACTTTTAGCAGTAACAAGATGACAATGGACGGCTGCATGACTTTCAACTCGGAGATAAACAGCCGCAGCATATCCCTTTTGAGAGCTGTCTGCAAATGCATGAAGCTGGACAGATAGTGCATCATCTGCAGTTATCCGTCGAGGAATGTGAAGATTTTGCACTAAATGAAGTTCTGAATGATATCTTGCCCATTGGGAAGACAGATCGGAAGGTATGGGATCATCCCAGTTGGTCCCAGCAATCCAAAGGCATTGCATGAAATGTTTGATCCAGAACGTAGTAGGTGCGAGCAATCCTAAAGGGTCAAACGTTCTAGCGAGATCAGACAACACGGATCGTTTGGTAGGACTTTTGGATGATGGTTGTGTATGGAACGAAAAACTGTCCACCGATGGATCCCATTTTAATCCCAGGACGTTTAGATCTTCATGTCCTGACGAGTTGAATAACAGTGATGGACACATAGCCCGAGCCTCTTTCGGAACTGCCTGAAGTACATTGGAGTTGTTACTCGCCCACTTCCGTAAGTCGAATTTAGCTAGTGCGCACAATTTGACTAATTGTTGTTGACATTCAAGTGCAAGGTCTTCAGTGTTTGCACCAGTAATAATATCGTCAACGAACGTATCGTGGAGCAATACTTTAGCAGCTTGTGGATACTTAGGTCCATCAACGTTGGCTAATTCACGAACTGTCCTAAGAGCTTGGTATGGGGCTGCAGATGTACCGTATGTGACCGTGCATAAGCGATATTCCTCTATAGGAGAGTCAAGGGAGAACCGCCAGAATATTCTCAAGTAATTTCGATCTGAGGGATGCACAACAATTTGACGGTACATTTGTTTCACATCTGCCATAAACAGGTGTTTCCATAACCGTGCACGTAACAGAACCACTTGAATGTCAGGTTGTAACTTTGGACCGGTGTACATATGATCATTGAGTGACATTCCGGTGGTTGTCGTCGCTGAGGCGTTGAACACTACACGTAACTTGGTGGTGAGGCTTTCTGGACGGAGCACACAATGGTGTGGAATATAATAATTATATGGTGTATCCTTTTCGTCCAGAGGAATGAGTTCCATGTGATTGTTTGATACATAATCTTGCATGAATTCAACGTATTGGCGACGAAGATCTTGATCACGACTGAGTCGAAGCTCTAACGATTTATATCTCTGAAGAGCTGTGGTTTTTGAATCTCCCAATAAAGGACGGGCAGACTTGAATGGAAGGTTGACCATAAATCGTCCCGAATCAAGACGCGTTGTGGTGTCTTGATAGAACTTCTCTGCGATAGATTCCTCAGGAGTAAGACGATGTTGGACTTGTAGTTCTTCGAGTTCCCAAAATTTTTTAATAGTTATGTCAAGAGTTTCGAAGACAGAAATACAGAATGACTTGATTGGCCCCGACCCAGGAGATTGTATTGGCCCTACCAACACCCAACCGAATATGGTTTCCATTGCCATGGGTTCACCAAACCGACCCATTCGTTGACCAGTTAACATAAGCGAGGGGAACATATCAGCTCCTAACAGTAAGTCGATCTGTCCTGGAAGATGGTATGACGGATCCGCTAACGTAAGATTGTCAACATGAGTCCATGGTCTGCGGGCTAAATGAGTTTGGGGTGTCAGGCCAGTTATGTGGGGAACTATTAATGTGTCCACACAGAGAGACGGAGATTTTTTGTTACAAGGCATTACTGTAACGGTGGTCCTCCCTCGAACAAGAGTCGAGGTTGAACTTGCAAAGGTCGTTATGTTGACCGGTGAGTGGACCTGACGGAGCATTAACACTGAAGCAGCTTTTTCTGTAATAAAACTGGCTTGGGAGCCGCTATCAAGTAATGCACGAAAAGTTTTCTGCCGTCCATTTGGAGCGACAACATCCAGCATGACGGTGGATAGGAGTACGACTGTTTTGGGTAATCCTTTGACAGTCATCGTCGTAGAAGCTGAGGGTTCAGTATTTGACGTTTCAATAGTGTTGACACGAGCCGATGTTGATTGTGGCTGGTCTGATCCTGATGACGATCCAAAATGCAATAACGAATGGTGAAGCTTCTTACACACCTGACATTTATACTTGGATGGACAAGTTGCGGAAGAGTGCCCTGTTCCAAGGCAATTGATACAGAGCTTGTAGTTTTTCGCTACCTGGAAACGCTCATTCGGTGGTTTTTCTATGAATTGTGGACACTTTCAGATCGAGTGCGACTCATTGCACATCGGACAAGCGACATTTACTGACTGGCTTGTCGTAGTGGTAAGAATTTTTTGAAATGAACCAGAGCGACCCCGTTCCTGTTTGGGTTTTAGACTGCCCGGGGGCATTGACGACGGACGTGTCGTTGAAAAGACTTCTGCAGAGCGCAGGTGCTGTCGCAGAAAATTAACGAACTCAGAGAGAGTAGGAGCGTGATTGTCTCCCACCGTTAGTTCCCACCGAGAGCGTAGCTCATAGTCCAAGTGCTGTTCGAAAATGTATAATAACAACGGACTCCACGTTTTAGTTACAAAGCCCAAATTATCCAACGCAGCGGTATGGTTTAACAAGGACGTTACCAACGTTTTTATGGAGAGAGCGTCATTGGATTTTACGGCATGATTCGTCAGAAGCGATTGAAAGTGAGTGCGAGCTAAATCTCGTTTGTTGCCGTATCTGGATTTGAGAATCTCCCAGGCACTATCGTAATTCAGAGCTGTCAACGGTAAATGAGTAACCAATGATAAGGCTTCACCTTGGAGAGACATTTTTAGAATTTCAAACTTTTCGACATTCGAGATCTCTTCAGCATGGGACAGAATTGATTTGAATAGATCCTCAAATCCTTGAAATTCCGTTATGATACCAGAAAATGTTGGAAAAGTACGTTTCGGTAATTGAAAGCATGATAGATTTCCAAGAGGTCCAGGCTGTTGGGATGTACTGGAAGCAAATGAATTTGACATTTCTGCCACGGGTGACAATGAAAATTTATGAATGTCAGCAAACGCAGCAAGTTCATAGAACAGAGTCTCGAAAGTGCTGATTAAGGAATCACTGCTCGAATTATCTGTAACATCAGTAGGCGCAGTTCCTTGGCCTACAGATGTTTCCATGATTTGAATATCCTCGTTAACACAGCGACGAATATCTTTCAGTTCAACAAGCATCTGCTTGATCTTTGCATGTTTCCCTACGTTTGCACGATCATTATTATATTCACCAGAAGCTTTTATAAATGTAGTGACACGAGTTATGGCACGACCTACACGAGCTTTAGCCTCGACGTAGTGGATTGAGGCTGGGGGAGCCATGGTTACCTGAGACACCTGAATGTTATACTGGAATCCGACGACAAGGAAAAGTGAATACTCGGGGAACAAGTACCAGAGATGATTTCCAGTATAGCTTCAGTGTCCCAAGAAATACAGGTTAATGATTTATAAAACTTGAAAGTACTATTGACTGACTGGGCGAGTGGTAAACGAAGACGAAAACGATAGGTCACGGTTTTTTGGTTAAATCCGGCTCGAAGGACCAAATAATGTTCATGAATTAATGTCGAAGGACCAGCCGAGTATGTCTCGACAGAAGAAAACGGTTTATTTTTTGGTTTTTTTGTTTAACACCTGAATGCCGGGTGGATAGGCAACTCAACACCTCCGATCACCTAACGCCTGAGAGTTGGTTGGATAGGCAACCTAACATCTGAAGATTTAGTTATCGTTTGTTGACCCCCGAAATTCCGCGCATAGGCAACCTAACATACGACGACTCTGAACGAGAGATTCAACAGTAGGACGGAGGTAGGTACAGGTTAATTATGGGGACGGGAATGTTCTGTGGCCGGTCCGGTATGGTGCAATAACCACAGCGCATTTACATAGTTGTGAGGGGTTCTTAAAATTAACTTAAAATTACTGAAGACGAAGTTGAGGCCAATGTTGTCGTCTCGACGACCTTGGGCGGCCTCTCACACACCCGCCTGCGGGTGCTGGCGGACTTACGCGACGTGTGGACGACCCGAGTGGTGCCGTAGTGCAAATCTCGACGACCTTGGGCGGCCTCTCACACACCCCCCTTCGGGTGCTGGCGGACTTACGCTCCGGTTGTACGAGCAAATTGATATGGAACAGAGACTTACTCAACACAGAAGAATCCACGGATCGAACGACGCAATTTACCAGCACAGGCTCCGGCTCAAGAGTAGGTACAGGCACGGATAACGGGAATGACGTAACACAGTATTTTGTATAGGTGTAATTTATTTACCGAGAACGCAATGAACAACAACGGAAATTCGGGCCTCAGTAGCGCAGAACAACCAGGAATGGAAGGCTTGATTTTACCAACAACTGCCGTAATGGCGAGAAAAACGAAATATAACAGAAACAAAAGAATATAAGTATATGCCTCAATGGCGATGACAACAACAATAATAATAATGATATGACCACAGGTGGTCGTAATATAGGTTAATGAATAAAATAATAACAACGATAGTGGAACACGATATGGGAAAAAAAACAAAGAGATTACACGAGGATGTTTATCGCCGTATGTCGACGGCGGCGCGATAACGAAATTTCGGTGTGGCGCGCAAACAGGTACTATAATTATTTTTTAATTTTAAGTCGAAATATACAATCTATATTAGTAGCCATAATTCATAATAAGTATAATGTATAGGTATTATATGATATAAGATCGATAACATGAGTATACGAAATATTGAGTAAAGAATAGCCACCCAATGATGACACCATATTAATTCATTTATTTTGACATGTTTTTGGATTCTGAGCGGAGCGATGAATGTATTGATTTTACAATTATGTATGTATTTTTTTTTATTATTTGTGTCTGTCGTCTGTATACACGGTCATAGCTAGTTTATGATCCCAATTCCCAGCCATAGCTGATGCTTGGTAGACGGAAAAAACCCAAAAAAATAAACACACCTAGGAAAAATAAATAAATATAAATGTGAACACATGTATACTCTACTCCTAATTAGTAATTACCATAATATGCCTGTAAGGCAAAATAAAATAATAATAATTAATTCTTAATTCTTAATTGTATAAAATATGGATTGTAAATAAAATAAAACTAAAAATATGAACATATTGAACATAATACCTATTACCTAATATTTTGTATACGTCATGTAGTTATGATATATTGTGTTATAAGTTTAAAGTTATAAGTCAAGAAAACATAAGTCTTAGGTATATACATACTAAAGTATTATCGGTTATCTAAATATATAATACTACCACCTACTTTCTATTAACTTATTATATTATTATTTATATAGTTATAACCTATAGGCTATAGTAGTATACTTATACCTATGACTGATATTTTTTTACTTATAATTTATAAGTTATAACACATTATATCATGACGTATACATAATATTATGATTTATGTTCATATTTATATTTCTGGGCTTTATTTCCTCTACCTAGGTAGTTGTTTTTTCTGGGCTTTTTTTTCGCGAGTCCTGGTGCTTGCATTTATCCACAGGCATAATGTATCATGTATGTGCATATATCTAATGCGTGATAGGTACAAGGGAGACGTACCTATTCTTAAATGCTTAAATTTAATTTATTTAGGCTAATTTTGTATTACATATATTATGTAATATAAGTAATAATAATTAATAGTAGGTAATAGCCAACAGTGGAGAATACGAGGGGGTGAAGGAGCTTCCCCCTCGTGCTGTCTTTTTAACTTTATTTTCTATTATAATATTTGGCTAAGCAAAAAGAAGATTTATTTTTTTTAAATTCTCCCCCCCTTGGGTGACTTTTGAATCCGCTACTGATAGCCAATAGGTACGGGACTGCAGTAGAAAAGTCGTATATAAAGTCTGTTCCCACTAACCTGTAATGTCACCGCCTACCGACGCCTTTATAATATTACCTTCCATAGTTCCATTGTTTCATTAACTTAACAAATTTCGCTTCATAAAAATCAGCTTGGTGCTGACTGTATAGATAGGTACTGTCGTACTGATGATACTACCATATTGTGCTAATGCTCTTGTTTTAAAATAACAGTTAAAACGTTTTGTTTAAAATTCTTGCCTCTAACCTGATCACCGGTTTAGTAGGGAACTCTATGGCAATTATACAATAAAAATATCGCCTAGTCACTGGACAGCAGTGACTCCGATATTGCGGCTCATTCTCGTTCAACAAAAGTTTTTGTTTGTAAATCTGTATATTATCCTGCATCTGATGAATACGAAGCTTGTAATTAACTACAATTTCTTAAAAACGCGTACGGATTCAAGCATTATGAAATTTCTGGAATTGCATTACAAAATAATTGACTCAATGTTTCATGGAAATGTAATTTACCCTTCCGTAGGTAAGTACATATTATTATTATTAGATACTTAATACTAATAGGTATCTATATAAACGATAAGGTATACCTAGTAGGTAAGGTAAGATAATCGTTATAGGTATAGGCGGTATAGCTAATATATACCTAGTATATCACGTTGGTGGACAGTTGCCGATATTACTGCTATAGCAGTAATATTAAATGTTGATGTCAGGGGTCGTTTTTAAATATTACTGCTATAGCAGTAATATAAAAATCGTCCAAAAAGTGTCATTACTGCTATAGCAGTGATATTTTCAATGGTCTCTTATGAGAAAGGAAATTTTACTGACCCCGGACATCTCATCGGGCCATCGGGCACTCAATTTTTAGCTTATGTATACCTACACGTATTTATAATACATGTACACGTATTTTCCATTTTTATTCTTCAGCTGATAAGTTATAATTTATATTTCGATAATATTTATCGATATATACAGTTAATTTTTTTTTTTCATTTGATTGGCACAACACAGGATACACAATTCGTAATATTAACATTTAAATGTAATACTGCTATAGCAGTAATTTTTAAATTGAAAATGTGATGTCGGAGGTCAGTACTGCTATAGCAGTACTAAAAATATTACTGCTATAGCAGTAATAAAAAGAGTCGTTTTAAGGATAGTTTTTTTTCGACGGCGGCCACAAGACTGTCCATCAACGTGATATTGTGTTTGCAAGAAAATGTTTTTGTCATCTACTTACTTAATTTTTTACTCTAACTACCAAGGTGACTTATTTTATCAACGATACCTTTCTTTAAATATTAATTTATTAATAGCTTTGAGTAAGTGGTTAAGAGATATTAGGTATATAGCATATATAGACTAAACCTAGTGACATAGGCGAAAATCTATTAAAATTCCATTGGTGGTGGCGTGGTGGGGGGAAGGGGGCTAACATTTGATCCCAGTATCCCACACAACTAAAAAGCTGTTAATATATTTGGGAGACTAAACCTTTAATAATATAGTTGTATATTAAATATGTATATTGTTATTCAGGTTCGTTCGAGGTACATACTATAAAAAAAAATAGCACTAATGTTCCAGACTGCTGTGGTTTTAAGATAAATATTGGCAATAACAATGATACATTGACTTCTGCAGACAAACTAGGTCTATTAAAAAAGGAAGACATTATGTGTTTGAAATCATGGACTATTATAAAGGGAAAAACTTCTGGTTTATTTAAAATTAAAGGTAAATATACATAGCTAAACCACGATATATTCCTATACAAGCACTGTAGATTATAGATAAGAATCTACCGTGTATACTACAAGTAAATAATTAGTCCATTGCTTATTTTATATTTATCCATTTATAAAAAATGGAAATTAATTCCAGAAAAATTTTCCTTTATCAAATGGCTCTTATATTTGTATAAAATACCTATAGTAAATATAAATAGTATATACCTACCAATGTCGTAGCCAAGGGGCAGCACTGCGGACAAGCACCCCCTGTATATTTTTATGAACAATGATGTCATAAAATATAGGTAACAAGTGATAAGTGCAACCCTCAAAAAAAAAAAAAATGTTCTGGCGTTTGTACTCATAGGTGACATAATATGAACTGCAGTGTACCTATAGGCTACTATATGTCCAATAGTAGATTAATATATTATTTAGATATAATATACATAGGCATGAATTTATCATATAAAATCTGTAGGTTACATAATCAAGCTCAAACACAATTATTTTGATTAATAGTCATTTATATTCATACTACGCTATCAGCTACTTGAATTTCTACATTTGTAAAGCGTCACCCCAAGCTGATAGGCCGTACATTGTTTAGCGATACTTTTAAAATTTGGCTGCAATCAATGTTAGTTTCCATATTGAAAAACTAAAATTACATACTTGGGAAGTACCAAACTCTGATGTTTGATAGGT